AATGATTTTCCTCTTTTGACTTTTGATTCTTTCAAATGCCCTCAAGGTAGACCGGAAAGGTGGCATTATCCCCATTACAGATGGGCAGACTGAATCAGTAACCCGGCCCCTTCTCTGCCAATAATTGCTTAATTGCAGTTTGAACTTGGGTATTTATTTGGGTGTCAGTGGTTAGTTGCCTAGGTTCTGACATCTGGCACATCTGGGCTGGAAACCTGGCTCCACTACTTCTCTCTTCCCCCCTCCCTCCCTCCCTTCCCCAAACTGAGCCATGTGATCTTGGGAAAGTTACTAAATCTTTTTCTAAATGTCAGTTTCTTGCTGTCTAAAATGGGAATAATAAAGTCACCTTCCTTAAGTTCCTAATGAGAATAAATGAGATCAGAGTAGCCATCACTTGCATAACCCTTATTACGAGCTGAGGGCTTCACATACAACTTCTGTAGACCAGGGGGTAGGTGCTGGCATCATCTCCTGTTTACGGATGGGCAAGCTGAGGCAGAGAGAGGCGAAGTTCCACATCCAAGGTCCCCCAGCTAGGAGGTGGCAGGCGGGGATTTGAACTCATGCCATCAGGCTCTGAGTCTTTGCTTGTAATTGCCTTGCCATCTCACCTCTCAGAGGTTCCAGCGTCATTGTAGAATCTCAAGAGGCAATAGTTGGTATATTTCCTTTGGCTCCCATTTCCCCTCCCCTTCCTCTGCCTTCCATGATGCATCCTGACGGAGTAACCACCTTTCTTTGCCTCCCAGGTTCCAACATGCTGCTGATCGGTGTCCATGGGCCAACCACCCCCTGCGAAGAGGTCTCCATGAAGCACGTGGGCAATCAACAATACAACGTCACATATGTCGTCAAGGAGAAGGGAGATTACGTTCTGGCCGTGAAGTGGGGAGAGGAACACATCCCTGGCAGTCCCTTCCATGTCACGGTGCCTTAAAACAGTTCTCGTCAGATCCTGGGAGGAGTTCTGGTGGTTGCTTTTGTTGCTTGTTCGTAACTAGTTTTATACAAAGTTTTCCTCCAGCCTGTTTGTGGGTCTGAAACCCCATCCCGAAAACATTGCCGTTCTAAAGTGCCTTGAGAAATAAGTCCTAGACTTGACTCTTTAGGGACGCGCTGGGGACTCTTAAGAAATGCATACTCATGCATGAGCTGAGAAGATTTCCAGGCATACTCGGTTCAGATCCGACCTCTTGCTGGCACAGATCACCCCCTGCAGACAGACCAAGGTCACTCGCAAGACTGACATTTCTAAAGAATGAAATTGGCTAGCCCATCTGTGAAACGAGACTGGCAGGCAGGGACAGGGCAAAGAGGCGACCTAATTGAGGCTGGCATTTAGAAGAGGACCAGCAGCCTACCCCATAAAAGGCTCTTAGGCAGGCGCCATTGTTTCAACACTACTCCTTTCCACACCCCTGCCCGCTCCATGGCCTTTGTACGCGTCTCAAAGGGAAGCGGCTACATGGTGGCAGACTGGCCTCCATGCTTCCTAGTGCCTTTCCCCTCGTTCTGCTGAGTATTTCCCTGCAAAGTTGTAACATGTGCCCATCTTGGCAGCTACGTTTTGCTTTTGTCTTTAAAGGCCATTGAAGTGTCTGGGTCTGAGGAAATTCTGCTGGGGCAAGCAGCCCCCTCCTGCCAAAGATCCCTTTTTTTTTTTTTTTTAACCAACACGAGCCTTTGTTCTTAACACACACTCCGGCCATTTGTCAGTCTGATGAGGCTTGCCAGCACGTGCGAATGGCCGCAGGTGGGTCACCGTGTCACCGCCCTCATCTGCAGAGGCCTGTCACCGGGCAGAACACTCCACACCCACCTCCAGTCAGCCGTGGGATCACTTCTGGAAAATAACTGTAGATCGGAAAGAATGGAACTCCTGCTGACCTTTGGCCTCAAAGGGCGCTGTGGAGGGCGTGGGAGGGACAGCAGCAGCTCCCCGGTGGTCTTCTGTCACTGGGCACAAGTGACAGCTGCAGAGCTGACGGGGGCTCTGTATACATTTGGCCCTGACCGCGTCATCCGAGGCTGTTTGGAAAGCAGTGTGCAGGGCCCAAATTCCAGAAACGGGGTGTGAGACATTTTGCACCCCTTTCTGCAGACCCGAGCTGCCTTCAGGATAAAGTGAAAGCCTTCGGGGCCGCACCCTGACTTCAGGGCCCGGGTGTGCGGTGTGGTCTGGGCCGGCAGACCTTTTTGATTTGCGGCTCCATCCTGAGGAAGTGTCACGGGTGCATCCGTGGGTGGGACCGGGAGCGAGGGGAGGGGACCATCACCAAGATGCAGCAGCAGGGGGCAGGTGGTGGCCACAGCCCACCTCTTAGACACCGGAACAGCCCGAAGCCTAACGTGAAAGGGCCACAGGTTTTGTAAACTGGGACGTGGAAGCGAAACTGGAATCAAATGCCGACTGTAAATTGTATCTCATAACTTATTAAATGTTTGCTCCGTCAAGCTCCCCTGGTGTTCTTGGAGGGTGTTGTTCCAGAATAAATGGTTCGAGTCTCTGACCAGCCCTCCCTGCCGCTGGCCGAAAGGACACAGGTTGGCAGCTTGCTCTGGCGGTGAGCCTGGCCTCTGTTTGCAGGGGGGGAGGCTTTTCCGTGAGCCCCGCTGGCAGGGTATCCTCAGGAGAGGCCAGGCGGCCAGACGGGCCGGGACACCAACACAGCCTCTAGGAGAGAAAGCCGCCTTCCCGATGACAGAGATACTCTCATTCTAGGGAGTTGACTCAAACAAGAAGCTAGGTCACCTGTCCTCCCAGCTGCCCTTGGACAACAGGGTTCGTGTGTGGTGTTCGTCTTCCTCTCCCTGCTCCTTCCTTCGGCTGGGAAGAGCTTGTGCCTGACGGGCGCTTAGGATACTTCCCCCCTCCCCTCCTCCTCACCCTCACGGCACTCCCATGACCCCACTTCGCAGTGTTGATACCGACTCAGGTGCTGAATGGACATGTCACTCAGGGCAGACCCTGGGCCCTGGCCATTTTGTCCCCAGAATGGAGGCTCTCCCTCCCTGGTTATACCCCTGTGGGAGCAGAAAGGGAACCAGGAGCCCCCAGATGAGCCCCGGGAAGTCCTTGCTGGGCCCCTAGCCCTCCACTGGGGGTGAGGGGTGGAGGGAAAGTCAGGGAAGGAAGACGGGCTCCTGTTGTGTGTTTCTTCCTGTCACCTCCTTGTTGATCAGGATGGAGGCTTGTTTACCTCTGAGAGGTGGGAGGAAAGGAAGTTTTCCCTTGCCCCTCCTGGAGGGAGCCCCCTTGTCTGTGGGCCTGTGCTGGGGATGACTGTTCCTGGGCTCCCTGAGGGGTTTGTGGCTTGGGGGTTGCTGTCCAGGCTTTGCCTGGTGATGCTTACCTTGCCCAGAGAGGAGCCCAGGGGCACAGGTGCTGGTTTCAGTCCCGGGAAGTCTGGCTGGTATCTGTTGGGGAGGCAGCACGTCTCTGTCCCCAGCTGGACCTGGGCATCAGGTAAGAGTTGGAACGTGGGCTCAGCCGCTCGGTGGCGGTACGGCCTCGGGGAGGTGGCTTCCCCTCTGAGACCAGGCCTCCCTCAGGGTGGTGGTGAGGAGCGCACGAAATCTCTCTCGGAGCTGTGAATTTTGGTCACAGCTGTCTGTGACCGACCCCTGCCAGGGGGTGCCATTCCTCATTCAAGGCCGCACCTGGGGCTGCCCTGGCGGGTCCCTGCCTGTGACATCACCCACGACCCAGGTGGCCAATGGCTAGAGCCACGGGGCAGCTCTTCTCTGCATCTGGACTCGCTGCCAAGGGAACGGGCCGCTGTTTGTGCAAACACCTCCATGACTTGAAACTCGACCCTGAACAGGTACCAGGCAGGCCCTTTCTGACTTTCACCAGTTGACTTGGCCCCTTTCCTACCAGGGGCTGACTGAGCCATCACTCTTTCGGGGCCAGCAGAGGTTAAAGCAGACGGTGTTGGCAGCTGACGCTCAGAGATCCTCGACCCAGAGAGGCCCGGTTCCCTTGCAAGCGCCTATGCGTGTCCCTCCCTTGGCCGGCTTCCCTCTGCAGCCCGCGGAAGCCCTCGGCAGTGCTGCCCAGAAGGAAACAGATTAATGTGTCTGTTTCAGTGCATGGGCCCTTGGCCACACGTCTGAACTTCAGACTTCAAAGGGGCCTTGAAAGCCACATCTTGATGAGTTTGGTGTAAAATGAGTCAGGCACTAGGGATTTCATTTCCCCTAAAAATGGCACCACCTTAAAAAATAAGCAGAATAAACGTAAATGGCAAAGTGAGTGGTTGATCCTTGTCACCACCACCCCCAAGTTTGTATTTTCAAATGGGGAACAAGCTCATTAAGTGCTCTTTGGGCTTAAAGCTCCGTCTGATGGAAGCAGGGTCTAGGAAAGTAATGGAAACTTTTCAAATCCCCATTAACTTGGAGGGGGAGGGGCTTTGTAATCAGGGTATTCCACTAATGAAAACTCTCGCCCAGAAACACGTCTTGTTTAGCTAATTTTTTTTTCTCCTCACAATGGCAAATCATAACTCGAAGAGGGAGTAAAAATGTCACATGGCTCAAGGCAAACATGAATTCAAATTTTTCCCCTCTGGCTTTGTCCTAAGGATGCTGACCAGACACAAGGGTGGGAGGAAATGTGAAACAAAGGGATCCTTTCTGCTTTGTGATAAGGCTTTTGTCTTGGTCCCTGAGCCCACAGGGGACCAACTCATATGCAAGGAATTTAGGGTGGCCCACCCCACACCCCTTCTCTCTGACTCAAGAGCTCTCCAAAGCAGGCAGGCAGGAGGTGGGGAATTGACCAGCCTGACTTACGGCTTGTGGCCAAGGGTGTTTTGGACTTGCTTATCTCCCCAGGACAAAGCTCAAAGATGAAAGAATATTCAAGCCTTGTATTGCCCACATTATTCCCTCTGCCATAACCACCGCCTTCCCAAGGCATCAGGATGCCTCTCCCAGTGCAAAGCTAATGCTGAACCCTGGAGGCGGGGGGGGGGGGGGGGGGGGGGGGGGATGTGTCTCTGAGAAAGAGGAAATCTTGGCAGAGGCGCCACACCCCAGAAATGCCAGCCTCGGGCCCAGCTCCAAGCACTTGGCACTAGTAGCTGCAGAGTAGCCTGGTGTGTGAGAAAAGCCCAGAAAGCAGCTAACTCCAAGTTCAAGTCTAGATTCAGTCCCAGCTCTGCGGCTTACTGCCTCAGACACCCCCTGGCTCTTCATCTCCCCAAATGTCCCAAACTTCATAGCGCTCATTTTACAGCTGGGAAGACTGAGGCACAACGGGCAAGTCTAGACAACCTTACCCTTTCTTGCCTTGCAGACTGGGAGTCCCAGTATGGAACATTCTTCCTCTACTCTTTGCCTAGCTAACTCATGTTCATAGTTCAGGGCTCAAAGGGCACCTCCTCCAGGAAGCCTTCTCTATGCCTCAGTGCCCTCATCCATAAAATGGGAAAGTGGGAAGCTTCCATTCTAAGCTTAACCTCTAGAAAGATCTCCCAATGCATCCATCCTCCAACTGGCTGGCCAAGTCCTTCCCCACCCAGATCTGCTAGAATAGGGGCTGCCTGCATGTTGGGGAGACTCAGTTCCCCAAGGCAAAGTGGAAGGGGTACCTCAATGAGGGGAAGGGAGCCTGTGGGGAATCTATTAAGCATGGTGGTTCAAAACATGGGCCAGTGGGTTCAAATCCTGCCCGGCCATGAACTCCAGCAGATCATTTACCCTCCAGAGACTCTTACAGCCTCTTGTTTTCTCTCCAATGAAATGGGGTACTAGAACCTACCCTATATATAGTGTTCTGAGGGTTAACTGACAAAATGAATGTAAAGAACATACCACAGTGTCTAGTACCTGATAAGCCTTCATAGAATTACTACTGCTGAGAGGTGCTTAAGAGGATTCTTCTATATGGAGAGCTTAAATCCAGGGGGGGGGCTACTTTAAGGACACAAATAACCATAAATAGGAGAGGCACTTGGGCTGGAGACAGAGCCAGGGACTGGAAACTGGGGTGGGAGTCATCAGTGGGAGTGGATGGGGTGGCCAATGGCAGTACTAGGAGCAGGGTGGATCCCTGGTGGCCCGGGGGAATGGCCAGAAAGGTGGGAGGAGAGCTAGGTGAGTCAGGTGCACTGGGGAGAGCCCCAGCTCACCTCCCAGCCTCCCCTGGTTTCCCCTTCGGTGACCCCTTTCCCTTAGCAGAAGCCGAGGCCAGAGGCAGGCCTGGGGCTGCCACCACACCTTCCCAGGGGTTGCGGGATGGGTTTGAAGTGAATAAATCTGGAGTAAACAAAGTGTAGTAAGTAACACTAATGCTAGGCTCTGAGTCTTACGATTACTCGCATTTTTTTTACAGGGGCATTTCCCAGGGCACAGAGAGGTTAAGTGACCCGTGCAAATGTAATGGTCAAGGCTGCGTTAAAAGCCAGAAAGCCTGAATTTAGGGAGGAGGCCATGAAACCGTGCCCTGCACGCAAGAGCCTCGCCCAGGTGGGCGCTTGGAATCCAAAGGCGACTCTCCTTGTGAGCCAACCTCTGTCCCTGAGCCCGTTGGAAGGCAGTACTTTTGGGGCGCCTTTCTACACCCTTCCACCCCACTCCCCTCTTTGGGGAGCTTGTCCACCCCTCAGTGCAGCCCCCATCTGGCCAGCTGCCAGAGCCTGTTGTCAGGACTGCCATTCCGACTGTCGTTGCCGTAGTGGCCGCCAGGGGTCGCCTTGAGCGCGCGAACGGCGGCACCGAAGAAAACCCTGCGGTACGGGGGGCACCGGGTCTTCCAAGGCCCAAAGGAGCACACCCACCTCCGCGCTCGCGCTCGAGGCCCCGGGCCTTACCTGCCTGGAGCTGGGGCGGTCTGAGTCGGGGAGGCTTTCTTGAGTTCCCGGGTCAGACCCCGCCCCACAAGCGTCTGACACCAGGGTCCTGCCACCCCCAGCCCTCGCAGCTCCTCCGACTTACCTCCATCCGTCCTTCCTTCCTTCCCTAACACTCCCGGAGGCAACAGAACGAACGTGAAGTCCGCCGACTCATCCCTGCCTGGAGCACTTTTTCGAGCACCAACTGTATGCCAGACAATACCCCCGGAGGTACTGGAGACCCGAGGTTGAGCAGGACAGGACCCAGAACGGGAGCTCGGTGAGGGAGGGAGGGTTTGTCAGCACTGTTCACTTGCAGCTCCTGGCGCACAGAAGCCCTCAGTACCCAAAGCATGTTTGGTGCTTACAGCCTGCTCGGAGAGCCTGGATTGAAAAGGTGATTGCACAATTCATCGGTGACCGCTGTGAGTGCTCCAGACGAGCTATACCAGGCCCAGGCTGTTTTACTTAACCGGCTGGATCTTAATCTTCCCTAATGTCCCACACTTCATAGCCCTCATTTTACAGCTGGGAAAACTGAGGCACAGGCGGCAGTCTAGACAGCCCTACCCTTTCTTGCCTTGGGAGTCCCAGTCTACAACATTCTTCCGCTACTCTTTGCCTGGCTAACTCGTGTTCATAGTTCAGGGCTCACGCAAAGGGCACCTCCTCCGGGAAGCCCTCCCTGATCGTCTCCCCAGTTCCGTGCTCCCCATCCACCTGATTATGGGTCTGTCTCCCCTTCTGGACTGTGAAACCCTGAGGGCGGGAAGCATGTAGACTCCGTTCCTCCTCATCTACCTTTAGTACCCGGCTCAGTGCCTGGCAACAGGGTCAAGAGCGAATGAATGTTTGTCGAATGAAGAAACGAGAGCGCACGGAGCAGAGGGTGGAAAGGTGAGTGGCCCCAGGGCACTACGGGTAACCTCCTCACTGGTACTCACGCTGGTCACCCCTGCAGGGCCCCGGTGGGAGAGGCACAGGGTGTGAGGGTCCTGGAGGCTGATGTTAGGGTGCTGCTGGGCGACCGGTGGGTCCTCCTCTGCCCGCCCCCGCCCCCTGCCGGGCCTCCCACATGATGCTGTCGCCTTCGATGGGAGAGTTCTGTGTCTGTAACGCAGGGGTGCGGGGTTTGGCGTCCAGCCCCGCGTGACCAGGTGAACATTGCTGAGCCTCGGTCTCCTCGTCTGGAAAAGCGATGGCAGAGAGGCTGTTAGCGGGTCACCGTGAGGAGTCCACTGAGTGGGCTCCCTCAGTAAAGCCTCCAGCGCGGGGCCTGGCACGAGCAGCCCGGTGTGCGTGGGGCAGGCGCCGAGTTCCCGCAAGCCTCCCTTTCCCCCCGGGGGACGAGGCTGACGGCAGCGCCGGCGGCTGAGGAGGGTGGTTTCAGGCAGGCGGAGCTCAGCACCGCAGCCGGCACCGGGCGGGTCCCCGCGAAAGGGCGGCGGGCGTTTATGCGAGGCCTCCTCGGCGCCAGGCGCCCTTCCAGGTTCTTCTACCCTGGCCTAATGGCATTCTGCAGCCCAGAAGTAAGCCCCACTGGCATTCCGACGTTCCAAGGACGCCAGGAAACTATCAAGTGTCGGAGCTGAGCTGGAGGAGTCGGAGTCCAGTTTCCATGGCAACCCCAGCCACGTGTCCAGAGCTTCCCGAGGGTGGACACCGGGCCCCCCTTTGGGCCTCCCTGGGTGCCTGGTGCACCGTAGGTGCGCCTCAGGGTTTGCTGAATGCACTAGAGGCCACGGCACCCCCTGCATCTCCCCGGGACCCTCTGAGAGCGGGGTGGGGGAAGCCTTGGGCCCCGAGTCCCCCGGGGCAGAATACAGCCTCCTGCCAGACACCGTGGGTGGGCTGTGGCCAGGCTTTGCTCCCTTTTCCAGCCCGGTCTGTCCTGTTGCCTGCGAGTGGCCTGGCCTCCTGAGCAGCCCAGCCCCCCCCCCCTCCATCCCCAAGCAGGGCCCTGGCCACCCAGCCCTCATTGGCTGCATGTATCCTTGGAGACAGGCACCAGCAGAGCAAACAGGCCACCGGCTGCGGGCAGAAGGGTGCCTCCCTCCCCGCCCCTTCCCCCCCCACCGCCATGAGGGATCTGAGCACCACCCAGAGCCGAGCCTGCTGGCAAGAGCACATCCAGAAGGAGACCACAGCCCGGGGCGCCTGGAAGATCAACTACGGCCACAAGTACCTGAAGGAGGGGCCCATGCCCAGGAAGCGGCTCCAGCGGGCCCGCCTCGGGTTAGCCTTGGGAGCAGGGCCCTTGGCTGTCACCAGCTCCCCTGAGAGCAAGGAGGTACAGGATGGACGGCCAGAGACCAAGGGGGTCCGGCATCAGCTGTCCAGGGGAGTGGGTGTCCAGGGCTCCCCGCCCAAGGGAGACAAGGTCTGGGAGACCCAAAGAGGCCCTCAGGGTCCAGCAGTCCAGACCAGGCCAGAGGGCTTAGAAATGCGGCAGGTCCCCCCCAGCACCCTGCAGCTGCTCTTCCAAGGCATCTCCCACGACGGCCAGGGCCGGGCCTCGTACCTCCGCGAGCGGCATCGGAGAAGCCGGAGAAGTTTCTGTACCCGATCTTGTCATCCTGGGAGTACGGCTGGCACATGGGTAAGGGCTGCCACCATCTTGCCACTCCAGGCCTCTGCCGGCAGGCCGGGCCTTCCCCGCCCCAGGCCTGTCCTTAATTACCCTGCAGGCACCAGCCTATCCCTCTGGTGCACCCTTCTCCGAGCAGGCCCCACGCCTTCACACCTTCAGGCCTTCACACATTTTCCACCTGGAATGTACCTCCTGCCTCTTCCTCTGCTCGCTAACTTTCACATGTCACCTCCTCTGGGAAGTCCTCCGAAAGTCTTCCAGGCGGATTTGAGTCCACCCTTGTGCTTATGCAGCTTATTGCGTCTACAAAAGCGCTGGGCCCACTGTGTTCCTTGAGTATCCATCTGGCCTAAGGAGCCCTTTGGGTTCCAAACTTCTTAGTTAATTTTATTAAGGCCCCCCCAATCCCCAGCTTGGGACTGGTACTCTGTGACCGTGGAATGAATGAACAAATGAATGAAGGTAGACCTAGGGAATGAGGCCTTGGTTTGGAATCAGGAAGTGCAAATTCAAATCCTGGCTCCTCCCCTTGGGAGCTGTGTGAGCTCAAGGAAGAACCTTAACTTCACTGGGCCTCAGTTTCCACATCTGAAAAATGGGACTATACTAATACCTGCCTTCCTATGTCACAGAGTTTTGAGGAAATCACATGGGAAAGCACCCTGAACAGAAATTTTCAGCACCTTGAACAGAAATTTTCCTCACAAAAGCCTCACGAGGTGGGTGGGACAGACATTCATTCATTCGACATGTGATGCTTTCATTCAGGACAGCCCAGGGAGGGAGATCTGGAATCACCGAATCCCAGCTCTGCCCCAACATGAGTTAGCAAATGAACAAGCACAGAAGAGGGACTCAGTTTGAAATTAGGGGGCCTTGGGGCGCCTGGGTGGCTCAGTTGGTTAAGCAATTACCTTCGGCTCAGGTCATGATCCTGGAGTCCCGGGATCGAGTCCCGCATCGGGCTCCCTGCTCAGCGGGGAGTCTGCTTCTCCCTCTGATCCTCCCCCTCTCATGCTCTCTGTCTCCCATTCTCTCTCTCAGATAAATAAATACAATCTTTAAAAAAAAAAAAAAGAAAGAAAGAAATTAGGGGGCCTGGGTTTGGATTCTGGTCTGTTCATTCTTTCATTCAACAAAGGTTTAGTGAGCACCTGATATATATCAGACCCTTTGTGTCCCTGGGGATACGACAGGAAATGTGAGTGTTGATGCTGTAGAAGGAGATCAGTTAGGAAAAGGAGAGGAAGACCCAGGGGCTCCTGGGGTAGACAGGTGGTCAGGGAGGCCTGCTGGGAGGGGACGCTTGAGCAGAGGCCTGAGGTGTTTCCACGCCATCAGATTCTCCTGAGGAGGGCCTGACTCCCTGGGCCCACAGAGCGAGTCTCAGTTCAGGCGCTATGCCCTCCTCCCTGCCCCCTCCGCTCCTCCAGCCTCCAGGTCTATGCCGCCTGCCGGGGAATCCACTGCCGGGCAAGGGTCACCGCCAGACTCAGCAAATTAAACTACGGGATGCCCGTCCCATTTGAGTTTCGGGTAAACAATAATTGTTTAGTCTAAGTATGTCCTAGATATGGCATGGAACATTCTTAGACTGAAAAATTATTCATCGTTTATCTGAAATTCAAATGTAACTGGGCATCCTGTACTTAATCCAGCAACCCAAACACGGGAGCGGGGGGAGCTGCTTCTGGATGCCTCCCGCGTGCTCGGGCAGTGCTAGGTTCAGGGCAAAGACTGGAAGACTGTTTTCCTCCATAGTCGTTCTGCTTAAGATCCCAGATGCTCCTAGAATCTCCGGAACATTCTGTAAGCGTCTGGCCTCATGCCCCTAACCCGACCAGTTCAGGGGCTAGATGAGGAACAGTTGAGAGAACTTCTCTGTCTGCGGACCATCTCTCCCCGTTCCCCGACCAGGTTACAGACAGGAGCTGCGTCATCCCCGGGGGTGCAAACAGCCATGGGGGAGTGGGGTTGAAGGCGTTGTCTGGGCCCCAGCTGGATTGTCCCCAAATGCCCTTTTATACACAGAAAGTACCGGTCTAGCGCCTGGCACATAGTAAGTGCTCAACAAATGGTAACTGGTATTATTATTATTATTATTAGGAGTTCAGCAGACAGGACTTGCAGGCTGTGGGCATTTGGGAGCTAGTTCAGCCTTGGCCAGGACCCCGGAGGTTCTTACTGTGAGGCACTGGGATGGAAAGGCTCTCACTAGACAAAAGGGAGAAATGTGATGAGGTTACCCGTAGGTGTGGCATAGGGATGGGGTCAAAAGAGTCAACCATTGGAGTGACTTGAGTGCCTGCCACCCATCGGGGCAGATCGTGGGCCCAGGGCCAATGCAGGGTCTTGAGGTCCCCATGCTACACCAGGTGTACCGTCTAGTTGCTGGATGCTAAGAAGGAATGGGGGGAGTCAGGTAGGGATCAAGGGGCACAGAGGCAAGCGCTGCTCCTAACTGTACTTCTAACCAGAGCAGTTGCAGCAGGTGTCCGCACTGACCCTCAGCTCTTCCTGCTGGGCCAGGGCTGGCGAGAGGAACGACGGGCCCGGCTCAACCAGGCCTTTGCTGTGTTCCAGGGGACACCATGAAGGACGCCAGGGCTCCAACGTATGCCAGGTGCCAGCCCATCTCAAAGACCTTTTACATCAAAAGTAGCGTCTTCCGGGGCGCCTGGGTGGCTCAGTTGGTTAAGCGACTGCCTTCGGCTCAGGTCATGATCCTGGAGTCCCAGGATCGAGTCCCACATCGCTGAGCAGGGAGCCTGCTTCTCCCTCTGACCTTCCCCCCTCTCATGTGCTCTCTGTCTCTCTCATTCTCTCTGTCTCAAATAAATAAATAAAATCTTTAAAAAAAAAAAAAAAAGTAGCGTCTTCCATTTTCCACAGCGAAGAGACCAGCTAAGCTGAACTCACTGGGGGTTCAGAGGCAGCTCCTGTCTTTTCCTGTAGTCTGTCTGGACCCCCCGCCTGCTACCCCTCCTTGGTCCCGTCCAGCCCTGCTCCTCTGCGGAGCGTGGGAGGACATGAACGCTTTTCTCTACCTCTGGGACTCAGGTGGCCCCCCTGCTGCCTCTTGGATGTCCTCAGGGACCTCAGTTCCTTGCAGAGCCCTGGCCCCCACCATCGCCAGCAAGGTGCGGGGTCCTGGCTGCTCTCCTGGGGGAACAGTGGAGTCTCCAAGTGCTCCAGCAGCAGAGCTGGGGTGGCGGGGGCCGGGGGGTGGGGCTCGCTAAGATCTTACGGTACTAAGTGGAGGAGGGGAGCAACTCCCTGTGTTGACTCTCTACATTTTAGTGAACGGACCCATGGCAGAATTGCTTGGTTCCGGTGTATCCCACAGTTTAAGGAGGAAGTAGTCTCCATGGTTACTTAGTCTTTATCTCACTGTCCCCCCACGCCCTCCCCCAAGAACCTGCATGGGTCAGGTTTGCCTCGCTGTAACAAACAGCCACTACATCCCAGTTGCTTTAACCAATAAAGAGGTATTTCTTGCCGCACAGTGCACTCTGATGGTCAGCGGGCCACCTGCCACACGCTGACCTAGGGAGCCGGGCCTCTCCCATCGGGTGGCTCTGCCATCTCCTAGGGCCTCAAGGTCCTTCCCTGAGTCCTTCTACGTCCAGCTGGGCACAAGGGAAGAGACAGAGAGTCTGCAGAGAACACACCCACTCTTAACCGCCTTGGCCTGAAACTGACAAATGTCGCTTCCTGTCACATTCTGTTGGTGAGAACACATCCCATGACTTGTAGGTGTGTGAAGGCTGGGAGAGCTGTGTCTCTCCTGGTCTGCCTGCCACTTCACAGAAGACCTAGGCCACCTAGAGCTGCAATTTGAGCTCATTTGTCTGGCTTTCCCTCATCAACTTTGGGAAAGTTCTTGAGTGGGAAAAAGCAAGAGGCAGAGAATGTGAGCGAGGGCCAATGTGTGCGTGTGATTCTAATGGAATTCACACTACAGCCTTGCGCACCAGAGGTGCTTGGCCAGAACCTGCTGAATGTAATCAAATACCAAATAACCCCCTGGATTCCTCTAGGGCCATGTGATTGACTGCAACAACCGTGGATCTGACAGCTCCTGGGGGTCAGGCCTCCCCGGGCTCCTGCGGAATAAGGGACCACATCTTCTTGGAGCTCATAGCACAGACTGAGAAGGGCTGGGGTGGGGGAGGGTGGGTGCTTTGCGAACATAGGGGAGACACTGAAGTCCCCATGGGGTCTCGGGGCAGGCTTCCTGAGGGAGGTCCCTGTTATTTCTGGCATTAAAGGAAATAACACTCAGAAAATGCCTAGCAAGTGCCTGCCCATATATGTGAATTATATTAATGAGGATGACAGTGATCTCTGTCAGCAGCAAGTCTGCAAGCTGCTTAGAAGAGGACGGGCTGCCGCCAGGGCAGGCCTTCTTAGCTGGGATTTTGCAAATAGATCAAGCCCTACTGAAAATGATTTAAGTGACGATTTTCTCAGTTCTCTCAAGGAGGGGACTACATCATTGTAGAGGCATGGGAAAGAGATTCGCGACAAACAGAGGATGCCCCAGGATGTTAGGGCTTACTTCTCCCGGGGAGTTTATTTATATATGTATTTAACAAACTCCAATGTGGTCTTCACTAGGTACAGGCATTTTTCTAAGGCTGCCCTGTGGCACTCGGTACGCATAAGCCACACGTGTCCACTGAGCACCTGAAATGTGTTGTAAGTATGAAAGATGCACGACATTTTGAAGATTTAATATGATAAAAAATGTAAAATATCTCATTAATAATTGCTATATTGAGTTACATGCTGAAATGACCAACTTTGTCCATGCTAGGCTAAACCAGGGATTGGCAGGCTTTCTCTATAAAGGACTCGTTATATTTTCCACTTGCAGGCCATCCAGTCTCAACTCCACAGCTGCTCAACGTAAAAGCAGCCATAAATAATACATAAACAAATGGGCGTGGCTGTGTGCCCATAAAACTTTATTTAAAAAAATAGGCAGTAGGCTCGATTCGACCTACAGGCTGTCATTTGCTGACCCCTGGGTTAAATAAAATATATTATTAAAATTATATTTACTTGGTTTTTTTTTTGCTTTTTTTAATGTGGCTATTAGAAGATTTCAAATTACACTTGGCTCACACGCTCTTCCTCCTGAATAGGGCTGATCTAAGCACTTTATGAATATTAACTCAAGGGATAGCTGTTACTCTGAGGTGGGGGAGGGGGGCGGGGAATGTGTGAATTCTGCTGACAAACTAAAGAAAGTGCATAAATTGGCTCTTTGGCCTGGCTCCCCCACTGCTGAGTGTGGAGCCCAAGGGCTGACTGGCTTATGGCTGTTTCCTTGGCGATATCGGAGTCTACCCTCTCTCTAGGTTCATCCTTTGACTAAAGGGAAGTCCCCAGCAAGACCACCAGGTGGTGCTGTCGGACCACAGAGCATGGCGGTCGGCCTCCTAGAGACCTACCTGCGTTCTATGCTGGGGGCTGCCATTTATTTGCTGTGTGGCCTTGGACCTCAATTTTCTCACCTGTGAACTGGGGTCAGACTGGCCTAGTGAAAACATGACCTTTTTTTTTTTTTAAGATTTTATTTATTTATTTGATAGAGAGAGACACAGCGAGAGAGGGAACACAAGCAGGGGGAGTGGAAGAGGAGAAGCAGGCTTCCCGCCGAGCAGGGAGCCCGATGCGGGGCTCGATCCCAGGACCCTGGGATCATGACCTGAGCCGAAGGCAGACGCTTAACGACTGAGCCACCCAGGCACCCCCGAAAACCTGAACTTTTAAGACAGACTGACCTGATTTGAGCTTTGACTCCACCAGAGCCATGGGATGATTTTCATGGTCCCCAGGCATTTTGTCTTCACACAACCCTTCTTCCATAAAAAAAATATTAAAAGTTATATTTTACAACTCTGTTGGTATAAACACAAATATCTTAATATTATATATTAAAATTTTTTCTTCAACCTAAAACTTCATCTTATTCCTTCTTATTCTTAAAGAAACATTTCTGTGGCCCTTAAAAGTATCATGAGCCCTAAGCCCCGTGCCTCCTGGGCCTCATGGAAGAGTCACGCGGGGCTCCACTACTCACCAGCTGTGTGACCATGGGCAGGTTATTTAACTTCTCTGGGCCTCAGTTTCCTCACTTATAAAATGGAGATGACAACAGACCCCACCTTTTTAGTGCCGTGGTTGGAATTTAGTGAGAGAACCTAGGCCATGACTTCTTAGAGCAAGCCCTACAAATGGCTTTCTTATTTCTTCTTATTATTATTTATCATCTTTAAGGATATTTTTATGTCTAACCTCTGTGAAACTATTAAAATATTTTTAAAAAAGTAAGAATCTCAAAATACGTAAAAAAAAAAAATTGAAATTTCCAGGCTCCTTGATGGGGGAAGTAGAAGAGTTTCCTGGAGAAGAGTGTGTCAGCAGAAGGAGTTTTTGCAAATGGCAAACACAGATTTTTTTCTCCTGCCATTAGGGAACTCATGAGGTAGGAACATGGGCTTGCACTCATCAGCTGGAGCCTGGGCCAGCTGGACAATATGCGTCAGGTGGGCAGGTACTTGGGAAAGGGGTGTGTGTGTGTGTGTGTCTGTCTGAAGGTCTGTAGCATTCACCTTAGAGAAACAGAGATGTTCATGGAGTTTTGAAGGCTATGGAAGCCTCAAGCCTATGGGGACAGGGACATCGTGTCTGCAGGGAAGAGGGGCAAAGGGGGGGGCACATTAGGCTGAGGGAACAGTATGTGCAAAAGTTGGAGGCAAGTTCAAGGTGAGGTTTACCTTTCTTTAGCTGAATTTTAGTTCTTGTATCCCTGGTGCCGTCCCATTTTATATCCATGAAATATTCTTTGATAAACTTGAATACACTAGAAAGCACTATCAATTTTTTGTTGTTGTTGTTTTGGTTTTGTTTTTTGTGTGTGTGTGTGTGTTTTAAAATTTTATTTATTTTTATTTTTTTTAAAGATTTTATTTATTTATTTGAGAGAGAGAATGAGAGAGAGAGAGAGAGAGCACATGAGAGGGGGGAGGGTCAGAGGGAGAAGCAGACTCCCTGCCAAGCAGGGAGCCCGATGCGGGACTCGATCCCAGGACTCCAGGATCATGACCTGAGCCGAAGGCAGTCGCTTTACCAACTGAGCCACCCAGGCGCCCCTAAAATTTTATTTATTTATTTGACAGAGAGAGAGCATGAGCAGGGGTGCGGCAGGCAGAGGGAGAAGCAAGCTCCCGGCCGAGCAGGGAGCTCTTGATCCCAGGACCCTGGGATCATGACCCGAGCCGAAGGCAGACACTTAACTGACTGAGCCCCCCAGGCGCCCCTCAGTTTTTTTTTTAAGGAGGTGCCACGCCCAATGTGGAGCACAGCATGGGGCTTGAACTCACGACGCTGAGATCAAGCCCTGAGCTGAGATCAAGAGTTGGATGCTTAACTGACTGAGCCCCCCAGGTGCTCCAGCACTGCAATTTTTTTTTCACTGCAACTTTTTAATCCCCAATTTGTACCAGCTGAAATCACTCCCTAACTCTGTAAGTTAGGTGTTTCCATCTGGAAGTCTTCCTTTTTTTTTTTTATTTGACAGCGAGAGAAAGAGTGAGCACAAGCAGGGGGGGAGGGAGAAGCAGACTCCCCGTGGACCAAAGAGCCCAATGGGGGGCTCGATCCCGGGACCCTGAAATCATGACCTGAGCTGAAGGCAGACACTTAACCAACTGAGCCACCCAGGCACCCCTGGAAGCGTTTCTAAAAGAAAAATTATAATAATTCTACCACCTGATGTCTACTACTTTTGGCTCCAAAAAAATTTTTTTTAAAGGATAACTATGTAAAGGCTTTTGCCTTCTCCAAGATGGCACAGTAGTGTCCCCTGAGTTTCATTAACTCCACAAAAACTTTGTGAGCAGTGACTAAGAAGACACAGCTTTGCTGTCATAGAGGCTGTAGTTTGGGGGTGGGGGGCAGACCTTGAACGACTAGCTACACAGGTGATGAGGGTTAAGAAAGGGACGTGGAGAGCATCATGGGAAGATGTAGCGGAGGGTCCAGAAAGACTGGGGGAAGCTAGTCAGAAAAGGCCTCCCTGACTGAGATTTAAGCTGAGTTTTGAGGAATGAGAAGAAGTTAGCTCAGCAGATGGGGGAGAAGAGTGATGGGCCTGTGCAAAAGCCTGAAGCTGGGGAGAGCATGAAGCACTGAGGAACTAAACATGGCTAGAAGGTACGGATGGTTGAAAATGGAGTTGGAGAGGTAAGTGAAGGCCAAGAAATACAGGGCTTTGTAGGTCATGATTAAGGACTAGAGTATTTACCCAGAGAGAAATGAGGAGCCATAGAGGGTTTTAGCAGGGGGGCAATAGCAGGAGATTTGCACTTTAGGAAGTATATTCTGGTTGTTGGGAGAAGATCGGATCGTAGGGGGGCTAGGGTGGGAGTGGTGGGACCTGTGAGGGGGCCGCTGATGCCATCCAAGGAGAGTTGATGGCTTGGACTACGGCAGCCCCCTCCGCCCTTGGCCCCATGAGGCCTGGTGTTTGTCTGCAGCTCAGTGTCAGCTACATGGAGACTTTGGGAACCAAGCGATCGTTCGGCTAGAAAATGTTCCGTGTTCCAGCGTTCCATGTGGGGCAAGCGCTGTTTCCCAGCCCATTTTCTCAGAAGAGTCGTGCATGTGTGTGCACACGCGTGTAAATATGTGCACGGAACTACATGCACACATCCTTGTTTCCTCGAGATTCCCTTAGTTCTATCGAATTCAGTAGCTTTCCTGAATCCTAAAGCTTCAAACCACTGGTGCCAGAATCCCATGGAGCATGGTTACCCCTTCCTCCTCCAAGATGTGAGCTGCAGGTAAGTGACAGGGGAACGCGGCTCCTCGCTGTGCCTCTGCCCTCAGGACCACTGGGGTGGATGCCTTGATGGGGAGACTCGACAGCTGATGGAGGTGGAAACGTCTCTCACCCGCACACCTGCCTTGGCCAGGTCCCTTTGCTCCCTCCAGGAGGCAAGAAAGATGTGGCCTCTAGTCTGTCACCTTTTCCTTTCCTGGTTTGGCACTGTCCTTTATACTTGCCTTCTCCAACCCAAGGGAAAGATAGGAGCCAGGGCTGCTGAATTAGAGAAGCTCCCTGGACCCCCCAGCCCC